GCTGGTCGGACTCCACAATAGTACTGTCGTGGTTGCGTAACGAGCCAGCCAACTTCAACGTTTTTGTCGCTAATCGCATTCACGCAATTCAAACCCTAACTAAAGGAATGACCTGGAGCTACGTTCCAACTGAGTCCAACCCAGCAGACATTATTTCAAGAGGAGTTAGTCCGAAGATGCTGTTGAACATGGACTTATGGAAATACGGACCATCTTTTCTTGCCAGCAGTCAACATAACTGGCCGAAATCTCCTCTTCTACCAATAAATGACTGCCCGGAAAGTCGAAAGCGTGCTGTTGTATTTGTTACCACAGTAGACATTTCATTAAACTGCAAATTTGTTAATTCTTTTGTTCGCTTACAGAGAGTATATGCCTACGTTTATCGATTTTCTCGACCAGCTGTAAGGAGATGTTCTGGATTCCTCACCACCATGGAATTACAAGAAGGAACCTTTTTGCTTATTCGCATGATACAGAAAACACATCTTCGAGACGAGTACAAAGCACTCGAAGCTAGAGAGGTGGTAAAGATTTCATCTGAAATTCGTTCGCTTAACCCGTTCCTCGACGAGCGTGGATTGCTTCGAGTCAGCGGAAGACTTCAAAATTCGGATTTGGAGTTTTCATCGAAACACCCAATTATTCTGCCAAAACGTCACCCGGTGACTGACGCAATCATCAGCAGTTTTCATAGAAAACTGTTACACGCTGGACCACAATCGCTATTGGCATCCATTCGTCTGCAATACTGGCCTGTGGGCGGTCGCAAAACCGTGAATCGAGTCATCAACAAATGCATACGTTGTTTTCACGTCAAACCTAAACTAATGGAACACTTAATGGGAAACTTACCATCTGAAAGAGTTCAATGCAATCGAGCATTCCTAATTACCGGAGTAGACTTTTGTGGACCATTTTGTTACAACTCGGACGTTAGAAACCGACCTCCAGGTAAATGCTACGTTTGCATATTTATTTGCTTCGTAACCAAGGCGGTTCATTTGGAGCTGGTGAAAGATTTGGCAACCTATTCCTTTCTCGCAGCCCTAAATAGATTCATTTGTATGCGTGGTAGACCGCAAACCATATGGTCGGACAATGCCACTAACTTCGTTGGTGCAAAGAATGAATTATTGGAGCTGAGGAACTTATTTTTGAGTCAACAGCATTTGAAAGTAGTTCGCGAGCAGTGCGCAAATGATGGGATTGATTGGAAGTTGATACCCCCTCGCTCCCTTCACTCCGGTGGCTTATGGGAAGCCGCAGTAAAAATGGCCAAATATCATTTTCACCGAGTTGTTGGCCTTTCAACGCTAAATTTTGAAGAGCTACGAACACTTGTGCGGCAAATTTCTGCCATTGTAAATTCTAGACCTTTATGTCCCATTACAGAGAGTCCTGGCGACCTAGAGGTATTGACTCCGGCACACTTCCTTATCGGGTCTCCTTCTCTTCAATAGTGGAACCTGACATAACCGAGCTCAACATAAATCGACTCAGCAGATGGCAGCGCATATGCTACATGCAACAGCAATTCTGGAAGAAATGGCATGCCGAATATTTGACACTTCTTCAGCAACGCCAGAAATGGTATTCGCCGTCATCAAACTTAAAGCCTGGAGACGTTGTCTTGATCAAGAATGAGAACAATCCCCCACTAAGGTGGCCGCTTGCCAGGGTTATCGAAACCATCAGAGGAAAGGATCAGGTGGTACCAGTGACCGTTCTGAAGACTGCAAGTGGCATATACAAACGGGCTGTGGCAAAG